CCCCAAAACCCCAAAACCCCAAAACCCCAAAACCCCAAAACCCCGATATTTACCCCGGTTGTTGAGTGGAAACTATATAAGCAGACTATTTTATCATTATTTACTAGATCTTTATATCTAACTTTAATCAACCAAACTATCATTTTCAAATGAGAGAAATTATTTCACTTCATATGGGACAAGGAGGAGTTCAAGTAGGTAATGCATGCTGGGAACTCTTTTGCCTTGAGCACGGCATCCAACCTGATGGTCAGATGCCATCTGACAAAACTATTGGAGGTGGTGATGATGCTTTCAACACTTTCTTTTCAGAAACTGGTGCAGGAAAACATGTTCCAAGATCAGTATTTATGGACCTTGAGCCTACTGTTATTGATGAAATTAGAACTGGAACATATAGGCAATTGTTCCATCCTGAGCAGCTAATTTCAGGCAAAGAAGATGCTGCTAACAATTTTGCAAGAGGACACTACACTATTGGCAAGGATGTTGTCGATCTCTGCTTAGACAGAATCAGAAAATTGGCAGATAATTGTACTGGACTTCAAGGATTCCTTGGCTTCCATTCAGTTGGAGGAGGAACTGGGTCAGGACTTGGTTCATTGCTACTCGAGAGACTTTCAGTTGATTATGGAAAGAAGTCTAAACTCTGCTTCACTGTCTATCCATCACCCCAAATTTCTACTTCAGTTGTTGAGCCATATAACTCTGTCTTATCAACCCACTCTCTGCTTGAGCATACTGATGTTTGCGTAATGCTTGACAATGAAGCAATTTATGACATCTGCAGAAGAAATCTTGATATCGATAGGCCAACCTATACAAATCTTAACAGAATTATTGCTCAAGTGATTTCATCTTTGACAGCATCTCTCAGATTTGATGGAGCTCTTAATGTGGATATCAGTGAATTTCAGACCAATCTGGTTCCTTATCCTAGGATTCATTTCATGCTGTCATCGTTTGCTCCAATCATATCAGCTGAAAGAGCGTATCACGAGCAGTTATCAGTTGCTGAGATCACAAATTCCTGCTTCGAACCAGCTTCGATGATGGCGAAGTGTGATCCAAGACACGGAAAATATATGGCTTGTTGCGTAATGTACAGAGGAGATGTTGTGCCAAAAGACCTTTGTGCATCTATCGCAACTATAAAAACTAAGAGAACTATCCAATTTGTTGATTGGTGTCCAACAGGATTCAAGTGTGGCATCAACTACCAGCCACCCACAGTGGTACCAGGGGGAGATCTTGCCAAAGTGATGAGAGCTTGCAGTATGATCTCTAACTCAACTGCAATTGCCGAAGTTTTCTCAAGAATTGATCATAAGTTTGACCTTATGTACGCCAAGAGAGCCTTCGTTCACTGGTACGTTGGAGAAGGAATGGAAGAAGGAGAGTTCTCAGAGGCTAGGGAAGACCTTGCTGCACTCGAGAAAGACTATGAGGAAGTTGGAATTGAAACCGCTGAAGGAGAGGCGGAAGATGAAGAAATGTAATATCTCACCAAATTTCATCAAACCAATACGCAACCCTAATTAGTATATTCACCGGGTTCAACATATCTGTAATGTCACGGGGTTTTGGGGTTTTGGGGTTTTGGGGTTTTGGGG